CCACACCTAGCCTAATTCGACATGGCCATGTCGAATTTAGCGCTACTCCCCTCGTCGGGGAGGAGTACAGAAGTCGAATTAAAGAGACCTCTATGTCGAACTAAATAGCATCGCAGTGTGGACGGGTGCAGGGTTAATTCGATTTAACGGCGCTAACTTCGACATAAACGCCTAGTGTAGACCAGGCCTAGATGATTCAGTTTTCCTTATGTAAGTAAAGTGAGCTTTATTTCTTCGGGTTTAATTTGGGTATTTTTAGCTTGCAGGTTGGTCTATCCAGCTGGTTGAAGCAGATCAAGGGAGTAATGAAAGTATTGCCTCCTTTTGCAATGGAGTGCAGAAGTAAGTAATGAAAAAACTTTATTCAACCAACTATGACATTTATCTCGCTAATATTAATTGGGTGATTATTTCTACATTTCTGAACAATACCATAATTTCAATGTCTTTAAATATGGAAAAACTCTTAATTTTGGTTTAGAGATTAATATGAACGAGAAAGTGTACTAGAAAAAATATTTTCTCTCCTTGCCACCCTCTTTATTACTAAGAAGTAAATTGACCTCTTCAAAGCTGATGTTTTTCAGTGTATTGAACATAAAAGATGTTTCATGCCACTTCTTTGACCAGCTCTAATGCCTCTGGGGTTTGGGGCAGGAAACTGAAAGTTGGCTGGGAGCTGGTCCTGATACCGGAGAAGTGTTTTTTTGCTGCCCTCATGAAAACTCTGTTTTGGCCAAGTTTTAAAGTTTTGGATAATTACCATCTGCACATGGATAGTAGAGCAGAATTGGCACTTGTCCCTTAATAATTTTCTAAACAGTTCATCTGCACTGCATATATTGCCATACCTGCAGTTAGGTGCCTGCCTGCTCACCTACTTTCCTTCAGCAAAATACCCTCTGGCCTAAGTAAAGGTGCACTGGGCTGGGAGCCTGAATGTCATGAGTTCAGATTTCATCTGTTCCATTGATAAGCCCTGATTATTGAGCACAAGCCATTCATTAATGTCTGAGCACTCCTCTCCCAAAGCTGGGGATAAAACCTCAGAATCCTGATACCTAACATTCCACTTTTGTCTAGAAAACAACTGTGTAACTCACTGACAAACTGTGTTACATTCCACTCCAGTGGCTGTTCCACTTAGAGGATAATAGACTATTACTGCTACCAGGTACTACCTTAGTGTTCCAACCCTGCTGAGCGATAGAGTTGGGCTGTTACCATCCCATATGATAGAATTTCTTTTCTTCTTTCTTTCAGTTTTCTTTTTAAAAAACTAGAAATTTCATTTTTTAAAAAACAAGAACATTAAGAATTACAAGATTGAAAGTTGCCCATACAACCTCAGTTGAGTCCCAATATTTGTATTTATTATGATAAAGTCTTTAATAACATGGTCACATACTATTTCCCCCCCAAAGACCCATTTTAGGTATTTAAATATATATTATAATCCATTTACATTTAGATATTGAGTCAGTTTTTTGCAAGGCCTGTCAAGACCTGTCTGCATAAAAATGTCTTTCTAATTCATCTTAATGGCTCTGAAATTAGCTGGATATATTTTTAGCTCCATGGGGGGGTTGTACATCCCCCAAACATGCTGCATCAGAGATTTCTCTGTTTCCCTTTTTTCATAGTGCATCAGTCTGACTCCAAGCCCCATTCTAATAGCACCAGATTCATAAAGGCCTCTTCCACGTGACATACTTTCCTTTCAGATACTCAGATTGTTCTGTCCAAACATTGTACATTTAACTTTCCACTCCAATTACAGGAAAAGCCTCCTATTGATTTTCTGAATTAATGAGTTTATTTACAGCGTTAGGAAGGTTAATAGAAATAAAACTGTTTCTACTTGGCCATAGCTTGTTTTGTGTGTGTCAGTGGCAAACCCTTTCTTTTTGTTTTATCAAAATAAGAACGCATCCTCAGGAGATAATGTCACGCTAAGGAAAAGACCAAGAAAAATCTCAAATAGATTTGCACACAACTAACCCATTCAGTCTTCTTGAGCTTCCCCCAAGTCCCTAAAGAATCTTAGTAACTGTCAGGTTTTATAAATCAGAGGCAAGATATATAATTCAAACTCTACATCATGCAAACTTACAGCTCCAGCTAGTAACTCAAGTAGAAACCCATTATATTTTTCTCCAGGTAATATTTGTACAGGTGGCAACCCATAATTGAAACATTGCATTGTACACATATCAACTTGAAAGCCGTTTCCATAATCTCTTGACCAGGTTTCTTGGTACAATTATGGAACAGGCTTTAGCAAATGTTCTTCCACGGATAGTTTCAGAATCCTTTTTCAAATGAGTTTGACACTAGTGAAAGATACCAGATTGACAGTCTCAAGGTTCACTGCTATGAGTGTTGAATTTCTTCAACTCCTACTGACTTCATCAGGAGCGGAGTATGCACTGCACCTCAGAGGAATGCTTAGCATCTTTCAGGATCAAACCCCTGGAAATGATAGTCCTCTATGTACAGCATGGGCAGCAAGCAATACAGATTTTTCCCAGGCTGCCAAGCCTGTGTACTTCAGCCATGACTTGGGAGGTGAGAGGATAATTAAGTCTCCAGCATTCAATCTTTGTCATCTATACGGAGATAGCTTCAAGGGTGAAGCTTGTGAGAGTGGAAACTGTGATGTGTACATGATCCACAAACGAAGCTACACAGGCAACTACTTTCATATAGTCACCAAAATGGCCTTTTTATAGAATAATGACTTCTGTTTCTAGTATAAATCTAGCACATGTACTGTAGGTAGTGTCACTTTCCATTATACCACTGAGCTACCATATTCACTAGCTTTTCATTATAAGTAATACACTACTTCATTGTAGAATTTTCTTTGGAAACCTAGAAATGTGTATGCAATAAAAGCAGAGTTCACACTGGTGTTTAAATGAGTTAGGAACCAGCTCTGAGATGTAATATTAGAAATAACCTTATAATGAAGAGATTTATACAGAGAACTATGCCACAAAATGTACTGTAATCAGAAACCATATAAAATGCTACCAAATCAAGATACAGCTTGCTGCTTAAACACAAAAGAATGCAATGTGCTTACTAAAGAATATTTGATTTTAGTTACTAAAATGCAGGTCAATTAGTGAAATGTAAAACCTAAATTGGTAGGCTATGTACTCCTATCTGATGCAGTATAGTGTATTTGCAGGTTCAATCTCAGCTGAGAACCATGATGTCTCTAGGTTTCAATGGCACGCCAAAGGGGACTTGAAATTGACCTCTGGTAATTGGAAGAAGAGGCAGTATATAATGCACTTACTTAGTATCAGATTTCCCTTTAGTGACTTGACTTGGTGACTAGAACAGGTTTCCTATAAGCATCTACAGGAGTTTCCTTAAACTTAAATAAGCGAAGCCTATATTTTTGGTGATGAAGGTTCCAGGTTAGATCCTAGAGCTGGTTGAAAACAGAGAATTTTTTGTGTGTCAGATTTTGCACAGAAAATGTGCCCTAATGTTTTGACTAGCTGTATTCAGTCTTTGCTGAGGCCTTACTATTTGTAAGTTTATGTGCCCAAAGCTAGTTACACTGTCTCCTTAGAAATCTGTCATTAAGAAATTTGCTTTAATAGAACAAGACGAGAGTGAATATGTAAGAGCAAAATCTATGGAACTTGGAAATTGTAAAGAGAATAATAACACAAAATTCTGTTTACAGTGGTAAGGCTTCTTACCAAAAGGTTTACCCTGTGATCAAACCTAATCAAAGATCATGATGGCAGAGTCCTCAGTAAGGGTGATGATATTAAATGCAGGTGGAGAGATCATGATGCCAATCTATATGCCTCACCAGAGCCACCTATGATACAGGACAACAGAAAAGAGAGAATGAGCCATTAACCCTGTGAGACTAAGTGGTGTGTGCTATTATGAAAATGAAGACTGGGAAACACCAAAGGTAGACAAGAATTGTTAAAAAGCGATTGGCAAATGTGGTACTGATTATATATGGAAAACATATAATGATGTACAGATGAGTGGAAATTGGCCAGGAGGATGGACAAAGGGAATTTCTATGCCCTTACCAAAGAAGGGAGGCATAATAGAGTGTAGTAACGATTGTACATCTCCTTGATGTTGCATGCAGGCAAAATGCTGCTCTATATAATCCAGGATCACATGCAATAAAAAATAGAAGCAGGAATGCCACCACAAAAAGCTGGTTTCTGAAAGGGCCAAGTCACATATGATCAAATAGTGAATATCCATAGTCTCATTGAAAAATGCAGAGAATATAATCACCCATTGATTGTGTGCTTAATTGGCTACTCAAAAGTTGACACCATCCAACATGACAGTTTGTATCTTTGGCAGACAAAGCATCTTATTGAATTTATTACAAGTCTTTACCACCACCAGCAGACTGCAGTGCAAACAGCAGTAGGCAATGGTGAGTGGTTTTCCACTGGGCAAGGTGTGAGGCAACCGTTTATTTAGTCTCCAAGCCTCTAACATATGTATACAGGATTTATTATGAGATGAGCCTTGGATGGTTTGGACAGAGTGGAAGGAGCTGGGATTTCCATTAGTGAACATCTCTTAGCTAACCTCAGGTATGTTGATGACATGATGCTCTTTTCTACAACCACCAATGCAATGGATGTTGGACTCTATGAAAATAGTTTGTGTGGAATATGGTCTATTCCTGTATGCGATGAAAACAAAGTGCTTATACCTTGACATGATTAACAAAAATGAAATGCAAGTGGGCATCAGGATTAACAGACAAGCTGTAGAGGCAGTAGATGAATTTAATTATCTGGGATTATATATATCCAACCAAGGATGCTGTTCTAAGGAAATCAGTAAAAGACTGGGGATGGTTCACACAGTTATGGTGTCCCTTAAGAAACTGGAAACATGGCATCGCAAAATGTATGAAGTTGTGACTTATAAAAAGCCTAATTTTTTTTCCATAGTGATTTATAGATGTGACTCTTGGGAAGTTAATGCTGCTGACAAGAAGAAAATTGCAGCTTTTGAAATGTGGTGCTGGTGAAGACTTTCTTGCATATCCTGCAGATAGGCATTCATCTTTTTTTCTAGGTTAGAAATATTGTTGGAGAGAAGCAGACCCTGATATCAGAAATCACAGTCGCAAATGTATATACTTTGGTCCCATTAGGTACAGAGATGGAAGGGGAAGGAGGGAATCATAGTAGACGGCAACCAGTGAGGAGATGGATGAATGGTGTGTGGCAAATCACTGGAAGGTCACCTTGCTGAGTGCTTGAAATTTCGCAATGGATTGAGAAGGCTTCCAAAAATTCTGCTATGATGTCACCATTATTCGGACATGAATAAATGGGTTTACTTAGTTTAACAGAATACACTCATTGCACCATGGTGAAATTATTTTGATCACAATACAGTGATGTCTCTGGCTAAACTCCCTTTGACTTTAGTGGGATTAGGATTAGACCCACACAGTGATTCTGTTCATAATATTGCATACTGTAATCAATGGCAATTTTACCAATGGTTCTCTTATGTAATAAAACATGAAATGGGCAGCCGTTATCTCACCGAGATGTCTGACAGAAGTAGATTTGTTCATAGCATCAATGTACCCTTCATCAGCATATAATTTTTTTTTCTTAATATCTAACTATACTACTGTTTTTGGCATATTGAGGTAGTTTTGTCTCAAGTTACAGGAGAGCTGAAATATATAAATGTATCATATGTTCTCTCCAGAATCAGAGATGCATATCCTGCTTTTGATTTGACGACAAATACTGGGAAGATTTGGAGTGTCACAACAACATTATCAGATGAGATCCTTTGTAAATCAAAATTCAAAGTTAGCATTTTGACAAACTGTTCATCTCCTCCACTGCATCTTACACCATGTGGTAAGTGCTTTGGGTTTCTTTAGCCTTCCAGAATTCAGTTCTTCAGTTCTACTAAAATACACAATTTTTTTTGTCATCTTGCGAGGTACTTGGTACCATTCCATTTTAATTTTTTTTTTTTGGAGCGGGGGCCTGGGTGGGATTGAAAGTGCCAATTGTTTTTTGTTTTGTTTTTTCCACGAGAAATATAAAAGAAAATGACAATTTTGCATGAAAAACAATTGGCATTTATTGGTCTGATCTAAATGTAAGTAGTTTAAATATTTTTGGCCCAGATTCACCAATATCATCTGGCTTCTTTGTGCTACTTTAGTTTAACGGGTTGGTTAAACCAGGCTCACAGCTGCCTTGTATCACTAAGGCAGTACAAAGCAGCCAGTGCGTAAATGTGAATCTGGCCATTTTTATTTTTAGGGCCTTCAGTTTGATTGTGAGCATTTAATTTTTGTGTCTGCTCTCCGAGAGGTCACTAAAACACAAATGGTTTTAACACCTTAAACTTTAAAATGAACGTTTTAATTTTTTTTAGCAGTAAAGAAATAGCATGAATGAAGAATTGAAATGAAAATCAACCTCTGCTTGGTGATTCGGATTGTTAGCTGTGAGCAATCAGATTGTCACAGAAGTTTGGAAGGAATTATTTACCCTATGTGCTGCATTGCACAATTGACTAGGTATATTGTGGGTGATCTTTGCCTTCATTCTGAAGAATCAGATACTGGCCATTGTTAGAGGTAGTGTATCAGACTTGAGACACCAATGATCTAGTCTGGTAGGGCAAGTCCTTTATGCCTATAAAGGCAAATTTAGTTAGTTATATTGTGATTTGCTTCCCAGAATTCACAATCCAACTATACATACATCTTTTTTGATTTTGGATCAGATCCTCAAAAATAGGTGGGGAAAAAGAAAATTGCTGTGATGGAAAGTGGCCTAAAAATTTGGAGCAGAGTTATGGAGGAATGTAACTACTAGAGTAGATTTATTGTGAGCTAATTGCACATATCTTCATATCATTGCTGTGCCCAGCTACTATTACGTATGGCTACATGAAATGGATGTGGCTGGTTGCAGTGACAAACAAATCTCTGGCATATCCTTGGGTCTTGTGCAGGCACAGAGCCTTAGTTATGCCCTCTTTTTTTGCTTTAGGTTATATTCACATTTGAGAAAAGCACACATAATTTCAATAGGGAAAAACTGAGTTTATAGATTTCAGTGTGAATAACTAGCTTTTTGGTTCTGCCATCTCTGATTCAGAATTGATAAGTTTATAATTCTAGATTCCTGTTTCTTTCAAAACCGGGGTGAGTTCAGTGTGTTGCTGGGATTGTATGAATGACAACCAGATCCTCCTCAGAGCAGGTGAAGCCAGAAAAAAATAATTAAATAAGGTGTGGTTCATTCTAATTCCTCTAGATGGAGCTATACTGCAGCAGAAGTTAGCAGTCACACTGTGACTCCCATTTTCTCTGCTCAACAATATAGCTAGCAACTCTCTACCAAGCTGCTATTAATTTTTCTTCTTATCTTTGTTTACAGCTAGCTGTATTGTCCGTAACTTCGTTGTAGAGATTCTCCATTGCACAAATCAATATCCATCCCAAGAAGAGTGTTTTCTAAGTGTTTATGGGTCTGATGAATTTTTGCAAAAGTAAGTATCGCATTAAGAGATGGTATTAGATCATATAAGCTATGCACCTGAATACTGAAGTACTACATTTGTAAACAAAGCAGATCCAAAGGGAGAGATGCAAAAACAAGGTCATGTCACAAATCTTAGCTCCCACCTTCCTCAAGCCTTGGAAGGTATTTCAACCATGGAGTTT